GTGTTGGAATTTGTGATTGATGATCAAGTGCAATGCGGTAATGCATGAACTTTCTTTTCTTTCGAAAAAAAAAAACGGATGTCCCGAAGGACTAATGCATCAACGTTCTCCTGAAACTTCCTTATTCGAATCCTGTGTGTGTGTCGCTGATCCCAGGAACGTTGCCCCTTTTTTTTTTTTTTTTCGGGTTAAATTTTGCGACCAAGTCTTCGCTCTGCATGCACTCTCAACTATTTTGCTGCTGTTCTTATTCCTAGTCTAATATGATTCGTACCTGTACGAGAGTGTACCATTATATCTGTCATTAGTTCGCCCAAAAAAGCTGGACGGTCATTGGGTGTTACGGCTCGGCTATCAGTCCGGGTGGCCTGTCCGCCTCACCGGGGGGTCTTGGTGGCCTGGCTGGGCGAAGAGGACCAGGCAACCCACGGGGGATGGATTGGTCCAACTTGTCAAGTTGGGGAGGTCATGCAGGGGACCTGGCTTGGCCGAATTGGCCAAAACGGGTCAGGCGGGGCCAAGGTGGCCTGTCTTGTGCATATTGGTTGTTAGCCCTAGGCTACAGGCACAGGTGCCCAGGCTGCCTTTGGCTGTCTGGATGGTCTGGCTGGGCCAGATCTTGGCAAGGTCCCAGGCCCAATGTCTTGGGCAGCCTTGGCACAAAATGCGAGAAATTAAAAACGAGATAATGTGGTGTAGAATTGCAACCTGAACAAATTTTGGCTCAGAATCACTTTGAAACTCCTTTTGCAATTTGAAATTGTAAATAAAAAATAGCTGGGCTACCATCCGGGCCGTCCAGGTCACCTTGGTTGCCCGGGCAGCCTGACGGGAGTGGGGGGGCAGGCGGGGGAGAGGGGGGGGAGAGAGAGAGAGATAGAGAGAGAGAGAGAGGAAATCCCAGGCGTTTGCTGCGCAGTGGTGCAGCAAGAGCTCCGGGATGTTTTCTCTCTATCTCACTCTCGTGCGCGTCCGTTATGGTGCTGTTCGTTTCACTCAAAATGAGAATCAATCTCCCGTGACTTCAGGGGAAGATTCATTCTCTTCTCTTCTCTTCTCTTTAATTGTTTGGCCTGTTTTCCACCTGTTCTGCTATACTCGACAGGGGACTTATTGTTTGGCCTATTTTCCACCTGTTGTGCTATACTCGACTGGGGTCTGGGCTGCCCTTGCTAACCCCCGGCTGCGCACGTCCTGCAGCTGTGGTAGTCGGTTGCTGGGACTTTTCATGTGGATTTGAATAGCTGGTAAGAGGTGCCCAATTCTATACCAAAATTATCCTCTGATACATATGTAATGGTGAACTTTTTATTTTTTTATTATGATTTCGTCTTTTACGCAGCATACAAGCTGAATGTGAAACCGCTTCTCAAGCTGGCCTGCAGCAGTGTGTTCGGAACCGCAACAGGTTTTACGGACATGTTGGTTAAGCACATACCATCTGCAAAACAAGCAGCTTCCTCCAAGGTGCGTCTCAACTAATCTTCTGGCTTTCTCTCATCATGTGTTGAATTTTCTGCTCGCTGATTTTATTGTTCCGCTGGATTGTTGCAGTGCCTTTGCGAATGTCATTCTGGTCTATCACTCATCGGAGCTATGGGGAATAGAGAACTGATGGTTTCGCTTGTGATCCGCACCACGGTCGTATTCTTCCGCCGGATTCAGTTACAGAGAACTACTGAGTACGATCCTTCCGAACGTCCGTGAAAATTGGAATGGAACAGAGGAGGAATGAGAGGAGAGAAAACAAAAAAAGAACTACTGAGTACGCGGACAATAAGCCAACGTACCTTGGTACCTGAGAGACAACTGCTCTGAGAGTCTAACCTGGGCCTCATCTGGTCTGCAATGCCATGCACTTTTTTTATTTTTTGGGACGATCTGCATGCATTATCGACGGTATTGGGAGGAAGGGAACTTCGAACGGCGAACTTACCCTCCTGATGAACTTTCACCCCAGGCAAACTTCCCCTCCCCCCTGGCCAACCTCCTTGGCTGGTGGACTCCTTGATTGTTGAACATTCCCCTGTGCAAACTTCGCCCTTAGAAAAACTTCCCAGCCGGTGAAGTCGCCCCCCGGCCCAACTCTCTTCCTGTGGACTGCACGATGGCCCCCAGTGAGTCCTGACGAGCCGCCCCCACTGTATACTTTCCTGCGCTGGCAAATTTCAAATTTGTCCTTTCGAGGAACATCCCTTTGGGTCAGCCTTTCCTCTGCTCAACTTGCCCAGTGCTCAGCTTTCCCCTTTGGTCCTGCAAGGTCGACTTCGGTGCCGTTTAACTTACCCCCCCCCTCCCCTCCTTCTGCCTCCCTCCCTTCTCTCGTGCAACTTCTCCCCTGTCAATTTCCTCCCACTCAGCTTCCCCTTGCGACAATTTGGTCTTCTTCAAAGTATAGTATTGATTGAATCATCCTTTGTGAACGGTACTGGCTTGGAAAGCAATGAGAGTTCGATAGAGTTAAAAAAATGAAGCAAGTGCAAGTCATGAACCGGCTTGGAAAACAAGAGGTGGGTGTATCTGACTATGCAGTCATGTGTAAAGATGGCTCAGTCGCTGTTCGTCGAGATTTTGGTCGATGCTAGATTGGTTGAGTAGAAAGCGAAGGTACGTACAAGTAGTAAGAAAAAGGTTTGAAAGTTGAAACAAGAGATCTGTATATGCAGTCTTTTTTAATCAGTCGACGGATGGCTGTGGTATTTCCTCTGGCCTTGTTTGAACAGGTTGAGCATATATATACAGGTCCACAAGACTCAGGATTGGCAGAGTCGATGAAGAACTGCGACCCTGATGGACCACTCATGGTTGGTAACTTCTTGAACGACTTTCCTCCTTTTGCTCCAATGCCTTTTCCGCTTTTGGTTTTCCGTAATGCACTTCTGTCGGTGCCGTTTCTGCTTCTCTTGCGGCTGGCAGACCCCACAAGAGTTGTAACATATTCTGCTTCTTTTTCCTTTTTTAAGTTTTTTTCCCTTTCTTAGGCGTAGTTCACCGTGTCCTTCGGGACATCCTTTAAAATTGGAACGATACAGAGAAGATTAGCATGGCCCCTGCGCATAAAAAACAAAAAAGGAAAAGGCATAGTCCACCGTCTCTTGGAAGGATTTTGAATGAGACGGAGCATGGATCTCTCACTGCACCCGCCTCATGGCGGAATGACATACTGTAGCGGTTGGCGAAACAGGTCATGAGTTCAAATCCTGATGATTTCAGCATGTAAATGCGATAACCTTAGGGGACTGTTGTTCCCCCTCGGAAAAAGCTCACAGAACCCTCACTTTGCTAAACACCGCCAACGTTAGCAATGTTGCATCTGTACGAGGATTCGGAAGAGCCACTAAGACCTCAGAATTGTGTTTGTCGTTCACAAGCCGAGTCAAAAAACAAAGTGCAATCCAGGAATGCACTCGTACAGAAAGCTTCAGTCGCTCAATTTCTTGTGTGTGTTCGTCGTTCACAAGCAAATCCACTTTGCAGCAGGACTGCTGCCGCGGCAAGTTCGGCGGTTTCCCAAACTTTGCCCTATTATTGCTTC